AAATGGCTGTTTGTACAGGTGATTGTCTTACAAGTAAAATGGCTGTTTGTACAGGTGATTGTCTTACAAGTAAAATGGCTGTTTGTACAGGTGATTGTCTTACAAGTAAAATGGCTGTTCGTACAGGTGATTGTCTTACACAAGTGGCCGTTGGAGCAGGTTCGAATGTATCTTGTCTATCCCTTCTGTGCATATTTCATCGTTAGGACTAGACTCTAACAAAACAGACGGGTATAAGAGAGAAGAGAGATAAAATAACCAACAAAGTAGTGAACGCCAACCAATCAAATCACCACCGATCTTCCTCAACCTGACTTTTATTGTCTCTCTCTCTAGCTGTCTCTCGTTCTCTCCCCACCCCCGCCACCTTCTCTCACATACCATTTCTATTTCGCGCCTCACGCCCCAATCCCTGGCACCAAACAACTCCCCGCCAGCCAAGTCCCCCACACCACCACCACCACCACCACCCGCAGACAATCTTTCTCAATCTCTCTACTCTCTACCCTCTACTCTCTACGACTGCGCATTTCGCGCAGACAGAAGCAGACCAAAAGCAGACGCATAAGCAGACGTGCCATCTACTTCGCACCGGACCAAGCTAAACCTCCAGAACTCTCATTAGTAACGTCCGATAACTGACGCTGTTGACAATCTGCACTTGTTAAGTAAGCCCAACGGAGTTTTCTTGGATCAGAGTTTTTCGGTGAATGGTCCAAGAGAGAAGACGGAAACTAATTAAAGATATTTATTCATTCCTTGAGTTCCTGGTGATGTCTTTCGGTGACAAGTTTTCTTTGACGTCTGTTATCTCTCACAGGATAATGATATAATGCGGTTGGCAGAAAGTGATACGTGTGGATTGTTATTTCGCGTTTCGGAGGATCTTCAGTCAGACCGAGAGACTTAACATTCTCTTTGCGTTATCTAAACGTTCTTCAATTATGGCTGTGCTTATTTATTGTTACTTTTTTTTTCTTCAAGACATTAGTTTACATTATTCACTGTTTTAACCTTCCTCAGTCTAGATCCAAGCCATTGCTGTTTCAGTTCAAATGTTTCCTTAATTCCGAGATAAACTTTGCACCTCGTCAAAGCGCTGTATCACTTTATCTTCCATATATGTCGTTCAGTGTGGGAAAAAATAAGAACAAAAGCAAACCAAAACAAGAAAAAAAAACAGAAAAAAAACGGAAAAAAACTAAGGACATAAAAAAAAAAAAATCTTTAGAAAATAAGAAATAAATAAAAAATCTAGATCTAGTATTCAGTATGTTGAAAGTTACATCCGAACAATATAAATTATTGGGGGAAAAACCACTTAAGATAATATTACTAGAAACGATAGACAAAATATACCAAGTATGATATTATTGACGATATTAAAGAATAAAACCAATGATTTAGTAATGACATAATGATGATAATAAT